TCCCTTTCCCCATCCTTTCTCCTCCCGCCCCCTCCCCGGCCGGGCAGCGCCGTTATTTTTTTTATCGCCAGCCAGCAAAGGGAGTTTTGTGCCAACCGCATCGCCCTGCCGGTGCCGGTACCTGCCCCTGCCCTGCCGGTGCCTGCCCTGCCGGTTGCGCGGTACTCGCTCCACTCCGGTTTTGCGCGGGGCGCTCGCCCCGGAAAAGGTCAAAACGCAGCATCGCCCCCGCTACCGTCTAAGGGACAGTTCGGTGCAGGTGCTTTGTCTGTCTGTCTGTCCGGCTGTCTGTCTGTCTGTCTGCTGTGATTCGCGCTCGCCCTCTCCCTCGCTGGCTTTTTTGTTTTCTTTTTTTTGTTGTTTGTTTGTTCTTTTGCGCGTTTTTTGTCTTTTTTTTTCTCTTAAAGATAGGAGAAAATAATAATAATAATAATTAAAAAAAAAAAAAAAAAAAAAGGAGGAGGAGGAGGAGGAGGAGGAGGAGGAGGGGCCGGGGCGCCCCCGCCGCGAGTTCACTGCACGGGGGTCTGCACCCCGTGGTGCGGCGGCGTGTCCCTGCTGGCCCCGTACACGTCCTCGGCGCCCGGCAGCGTCCCTCCCGGGGGAGTCATGCGCTTCTCTTTCTGTCTCCTGTTACAAAACCACACTCTCACCACCTCCTTCTCCAGCTGTAGGCTGTCCGCGAGCGAGGTGATCTCCTGGGCGGAGGGCTTGGGGCACTTGAGGAAGTGGCTCTCCAGCGCGCCCTTGACGCTCACCTCGATGGAGGTGCGCTTTTTCCGCTTGCGGCCCTGCGCCGCGATCTTGTCTATGCTGGTGGGGCTGCCCGAGGAGGAGTCCGCCTCCTCCAACCACTTGTTCAACAAAGGCTTCAGCTTGCACATGTTCTTGAAGCTGAGCTGCAGGGCCTCGAAGCGGCAGATGGTGGTCTGCGAGAAGACGTTGCCGTAGAGGGTGCCCAGCGCCAGCCCCACGTCCGCTTGGGTAAATCCCAGTTTGATGCGCCGCTGTTTGAACTGCTTGGCGAACTGCTCCAGGTCGTCGGAGGTCGGCGTGTCCTCGTCCGAGTGCGGGTCGTGGTGCGGCGGCGGCCCGGGGGGAGCGACGACGGCGGAGGCGGCGGAGGGGGGGGCCGGCCCGGCCGCCCCGGGGTGAGGGCCGTGGGGCGGCGGCGGCGGGTGTTCGCCACCGTGGTGCGGCGGTCCCGGCGGCGGCTCTTCGTGGGCGTCGCGCAGGCCGTGG